CTCAAGATTTGGTATATTAGGATTAAAGTCTATATTTTTAGTCTTTTTATACTTTTTATCTTTCTGAAGTCAATTATATATTTTAATGTATTCTAAAGATACGGAACCTTACATGGAAAAACACTCAAGATGGTGAGTTAGTGAGTTAAGAAAAATTGATGTTTACTGAACTAATCATACAATAAGATTTTTATCATATCAGATGAACAGTTAACAATGAAATACTTAAATAGGGAACCTACAATATTTAAGATTGATTAAACTAATCATATTGTATGACTCCTATCATAAAGTATGATCGATTATAATCATCAAAATAGCCACCAATCATAATTTAAGTAAAATTTTATAATACAAAATTTATGAATAATCATACTGTATGATATGTATCATATTGTATGATATATGATACCCATGCCTAAGTTGATTCTATGTATAGGGGGGTAATTATGGTTAATTTATTAAATCAGATCATACAAGTTGATTGGTGATGATTGTACTATATGACCTGATTCTTGCATGGGTTGATACGTTTTCATCACGTATCATCCAAGACAACATGTTATAATATTTCAACTCATCATATAGGATGAACCCATATTTTATATTGTATAAATTGAGCTCAACATTGGAAAAATGTTTATCATCATATATCATACTGAATGATCATTACGAACTCTTGAATTGGTCATACAAAATAATACAATTTGTACTATCTAAAAAGGTTATTTTTTATTAATTATAATGGGCAATGCTCTCAATCATCTTGGACGATCCATTCATCTCTTTGAACTGATCATACAATTTCTATCTCTTCTTAGACTACTAACAAGATTACATTGAACTAATTGTACATGATGATCTTTAATCAGATTTGACAGGTTAAAATTTTGGCCTTTCTAAGAGGCTCTTTTTAAAAATCGTTCTGGGTCTTAATTCTGAAAAGACTTTTATTACTAATGTCCTTGAGAGAGGGCATAGAGAGGGACTTAAGCTGTGCTTTGGGAGAGAATAGAGGGAGAGTTGTTTATTAGAGAGAGTTGTTAGGCATCCACTAGCTTACTCCAAAATAAGGCTCTTTCCTATATTCTTCAAGATCTTGCCTTGATCTTTTGGTGTCTATGAAGAGAACAACAATAGGACATGGTTCTCTGCCATAAATAGGTGGGAAAAAAAGGATTACAGTTTTTTTGTCTTCAACAAGAGGGTGAAAATATAATCCAGATTTTCCGCTTTCACTTGGAGGGTGAAAAAGGGTAAGGTCCTCTGCCACACCAGGTTGTTTGAAGAGATTTTGGAAGGGCTTCTCTGCCTTTCTGTTAGGTAAAAAACAAAGAAACTAGTTTTAGTGTAATACCTAGAAAGGAGAAATTTAGGGCGTAGACGTAGGTCAGGATGGACCAAACCACTATAAATTCTGGTGTGTTTGTTCTTATTATTCTCTAAGCTTTATTTTTCTATGACTAATTGTGTGGTTGAAAACTCTAAAGTTTTTTTTATTATAAAATTAATTTGCTTTTGCATCAACAGATAAAGTTTTCTATTCTTCAGATATTGAAAAAATTATAAAAAGATTTAATTTTTGTTAAAGAAAATATAAAATTACCAATTTATCTCCCACTTGTTTAGCCTTGAGCAAGTTCTTTGAGGTCTCACAACCTCCTCAAGCTATCATTTTATACATATTGTAACAAAACAAAAATATGTCTTTCTTAAAAAAAAATCAATAATTGTGATGATATTGTCTATTTCATATATATATTATTTCTTCATAACATACATAAAATTGAAAGAACTTTATGTTTATTTATTATTTAAATATTTATTTATTTACTGAGTCCCTCGATAGGTCGTGGGTTTTTAATAAAGGTATGAAGAGATTTTTAGTTAATAAGATTTTGATTTCACCATGGTTGATTTATGAAATTGTACTATTTATGATTCTAAAGAATTTTAGATTCTTGTATTACTTCTTTTATTTTAGATATCTTTTGATCTAATACCCTTTCTGTCTTTAGCTAATAGCTGATAGTGGAATCAACTAATTATTGTAATGTACAACTTTTTTTTGATGTTATTGCACATGGATATGATCAAAAACTTTTTTTTTTGTTTACATAAAAAGTTGTAGTCATTGTGATAATGAATTTCCCTTTACGAAAGGGGATCCGATGAGAGGATTAGTTTGTATGTTATAACCTGAATTGACAAATGGATCTAATCTATATGTTTAGTTGATATAGAAAATTAATTATGATAGATTTCTCATATATTGAAATGATAGGTATTAATTTTTTGTTATCTAGTAATGTGTAATTTGGAGAAAATGATTTGTTTATTGAGATACTTTCATTTCTTAATTTTGTCTGATCTTTATTACTTGCCAATTGTTGAACTATTGAATAGTCTTTCGACTCTTTCCTCTGTTAATTGTGTAAGCACATACTTATATTGTAATAGAAGGAATAAATCTTATTATCATTTCATTTCAATAAGGCCTCTATCAAGAGTAAATTTTCATTACATTGTGTCTTGTAGGCTTGTTTCTTTTGTTGATATTTTCCAAGGCTAACTTGGATATTTCCTTCGAAGATTAATTCAAGTAAAGTTGCAATTCCCTGAAATGTAGTATTTGAAAATTTAATTAGCCCTGTCCATCCTCCTTTTGTTCAATAAAGCATTATATTATGTCTGTCCTTTGGATTATAAGAATTTGGAATAAGCTATCCCTTTTAGTGCAAATTCACTACTTTATAATTTTCAACTTGTCTCACTAACTATGATCGAGTACATAATCCATCTGTTCTCTACAATATGTTCTTTTGTCCTGCATAAAGAAAAATCTCATTTCCTGATTAACGAGCTTTTGAATTTAAAATAGTAAGAAGAATATTTTTTTAAAAACTCTTTTGATCAACGTTAAGAAAATTTAAGAAATCTGTAAATATATATTCTCTTTTCTGAAATATTTTTCACTCATTTTTTTTATCAAAGTTAAAAAATATTTTACTTCACTAATATAATTAACAAAAATAATTACTTATAGGGATAAAATTACTATTTTATCATTTTATCGTAGAAAATATAATTTAAATTTTCATAATAAGAATTCATGTGTCTTTAATGCATATGTAATAAAACTAAATATCCCAAATCTCCGCTATACTTGGTTCTATTAAAAGTGCAATAAAACTAAACATCTCAAATCTTCACTACAATTAGTTCTTTAAAATATTATCTAAAATAATTTAAACTACAATTTTGCATCAGATTTTCATATAAGTGGCAAAATCCATTTCGGTGAATTGAACTAAGTGCCATACCAATTTATATTTACAATTAGCCTTTCTCACATCACTTGGCACTTTTGTTTTAAGTGATTTTTCCCTTCACAAGATTGTGTTGGGAAAGTAACCCACACAGTGTCTACAAACAAGAAATAGAAAATGAAGCAAAAAAATGTTAAGATTTAATGTGGAAATTTTTGAAATACAAAAAAAACTCGAGCCACACAACACTAAGAAATTCACCATGCAAATTGGGAGAATTTGTACATATCTATTTCCTTCTTACTCTCTCATTGTCTTTCCTTATTCCATACGCCATTCTCTGCACATAATAGATAAAGAGAAAAAAATAAAACTAACCAAGTGACACAACACATCAAGTTAAAAAAGAGAAATGAAAAATAAAATGTCCAACCACACTTGCAACATTATATTGCAAGGTTTTGAGTTCCAGAAGACTCCACTCTATGACTCTTATCTAACTAACCAAGTAATTACCTCAAAATCTAGAGTGTTGTGACACTCATCTTTCTGTCTATCTCAAACCCGACTATACAACAACACAGTGTTGTGTGTAAAAGGAAAAAAGTTGGGTACAAAAAACTAGAACTCGAGCACAAAGAGAACAAGTGCAACCCCTCCAATGAGCTGAACCAACATAATTGAAGTCCCATACAATGATACAACTTGATTTATCAACACAATGAGAATCTATATTGAGTTAAAAAAATTATATTTGTTAGTTAGATTTTTCTATTTTGTAAAATAAATTACCCATTTTGTAAAAAATCTAATTATTATATATAAAATATTATAATAAACAAATAATTATCTTTTTCCCTAAACTAATTTCTCACTCATAATACTTTTGATTTTTTTTCTTTAAAAAATAACAAGTTTTGTCATGAGAAAGATGCAAGCATATTCTAACTTTTCAACACTCTTCATTAGTTGTTAGGTTTATACTTGATCAAACATAGGTCCAAATCCAATGGCTAACACCTTTCAACAAAAGTTGATTGATAGGAATGCAAGAACTAAAATTTAAGAAATAAATCAACAAGTTGGTAATATAAGAACAAGACCAAGCAATAGACATTTGATTCCTTCTTTATAGGACAAAACATTTATTTGATCCCTTCATCTATCTTCTAATATTCCCTTAACATTATGACTTATATTATAAACTAAATTCCTAATAACCCCATTATGCACAATAATTCACCGTCTATAAAGCCCCGCCTCCTCTTGGCTTACACCTTAAAGTTATGCTAAGTAGAGCTTCAAAGTTCTATTCTCATGGCGACATCTTCTTCTCTACTCTTCTATTATATTCTTCTCAATCTGTTCTTCTATTTTCTTCTAATAGAAAAGAATTTTCTAGTATCAGCGCAAAAGCTACTCGGAGAACATAATGTCATTGATGTCAAGTCACTATTGCCGAGCAACTCCTGCTTCGTGCCTAAAAAAAGTTTGTGATCAATTTCAATAGTTTCGTATTACCTTATAGGAGACTTATTTTTTTCATAAAATAATTGGAATAATAAGAAATCATGCAGAAATTAAGCTCATTTGATAAATATTTTGATCATAAGCTCATTTGATAGATATCACAAGCTTAAACGTGATAAAAAAAAACTCAATACGTACAATAATTATTTGTTTCAATTGTGACAGGCACGAGCCCTTCCAAGCTCAACATTGTCCACTTACATGGCCTATGCTCATCCCGGATGCACCAGCTCATCCCGGATGCACCAGGACAGGCCGTCTCATGTGGAGCTCTTCCCTCAAGACCAAGCCCGCTTAGACTACATTCACCGTCAGGCATCCCACGCCACCGCCCGCCTAAACCCTATTGGCGACTCTCTTTTAGCAAGAGTTCCGACAATCATTGATTGTAATATTAGTTTTTATAGCTATATCATAGAAATAGGCCTAGGCACTCCTACCAAGTTCTTCTTTTTGACATTTGACACGGGTACTGATCTCACTTGGACCCAATGTGAACCCTGCGTTAATTGTCATACCCAAAAAAACCCATTTTACGACCCAACCAAGTCATTCACCTTCACCAACATCCCATGCGACTCTAGTTATTGTACCCAACTTGACAAATTTGGTTGCTCCTCTAACTTCTCTTGCCTCTATGAGGAAGAATATTATGACAATTCTATTACTAACGGCTCCCTCATTGAAGATGTCTTGTACTTTAATAATGATATTATTTATAACTTTGTCTTTGGTTGTGGACATAACAACACAGGAGTTTTTGACCATGAAGATGGGTTATTAGGCCTTGGTCGTGGGCCAATTTCAATTATTAACCAAACATCTCAATTGTATAATGAAATATTCTCATATTGTCTACCATCAGGGCCAAATAAAGCTGGATATCTCGAACTAGGTAGATCAGTCCTTGGTGTGAAGTATACACCTATGCTAACCAAGCCAGAATTGCCATCCTTCTACTTCCTCAATCTCACTGCCATTTCAGTTGATGGTGAAAGGCTCACCCTTCCACCTACTATATTCAGCGAACCTGGAACTATGTTGGACTCTGGCACAACATTTAGCTACCTTCCACCCACGGCATACTCCGCCCTTCGCAGTATTTTTCAAAAAAAAATGAGCAATTACCCGATGGCGCCACCAATATCAAATCTTGACACATGCTATAACTTCACTAACTACCCAACAGTGTTGTTACCAAGTATTTCATTGATCTACGATGGCGAAGTGATGACAAACTTACATTCAACAGGGAGAATTTTAATGTTCAGTGAATTTATAGGGTGCTTACCCTTCGTTGAAAATGAGGATGATAGTGAAGTTGTGATCATTGGTAATATGCAGTACCTCACGTTCAATGTAGTCTATGATGTTGGGAACTCACAAATTGGTTTTGGGCCTAATGGTTGTAGCTAGTGATGGATAGACCAAGTAAATCGAGTTAAATGCAATGTATTAATGTAGCTAAAATGAAGAGGCTCCATCATGTTGACTATAAAATTTGGGTGTGCAGGACAATAAATATAGTCTTGAATAAAAGTTCAATTGTATCCAAATTTTATGAAATAATTAAATATCAAATGAAGTAAACTTGGTATGAGTTCATTAAAACCATTAGGATGTGCTTAATTTCATTATAATTAAAGGGACATGATGAGATTATTTTTTGGAGGTTTAAATTTTGATTATCAGAGGTAAAATGTCATCTTTATTCCAAAAAGATCTTATACTTAAAAAGAATGAAGACTGTTGAATGTGATGCTTTTTGTTCAGTGTCAGACCCTTACAAATTCAAATCATCACATAAATGTCTTAAACTTGATCCTTTTTGTTCTCATTTTAGCTTAAATTTTCTTTTTTGTTATGGTCTATAAGTAGAATCATTTAAGGCTTGTGAGTTTTTCCAACCCATTAGGCCATATAACCTAACACATTTATGCTCAGATGCAACCAATCCCATATTTCTTAATTATGGGATCATTTGAATAAATTAGGTAAACTCACATACCGATCACATACACAACCTTAGAACATTGGAAATCCGGCTAGAACCAAGGATCCTAACCATTTGATAATTAAGAGATATGTTAATTTTCAAGAATTGTTTTTGAAAGTATTAATCCCTCACACGAAATAAATTCTTACTACACCACTATCTGCATGCATAATGTATGTGTACGTTCATCCATATTTATTATATAATTATAAAACCTATGTTCATCCATAAAAAGAAAAAAGTTCTGATCTCCAACTCATGCTACAACAAGTAGGTCTTAAGGCATTGACATTAAAGCCCTTTCCAAAGTGTCTTAATGAAATTTTGAACTTCATTTGATTAATGATATAACTTTATATGTTACAAACACATTAAGCTTTTATAGTAAAATAAAAGAGCAAATTAAGGGGGCATGAGCATACTAATACTCAATTTAATTAATTTTTTAAGTTTTTATATATCATATAAATTAAATTATATAAATAAATATTTTGTATAAAAAACATTTAATTTATGAACCCTCTAAAATTTGAAAATTTTTAAATTTTAAATAGCTATTGAAGAAATATTGATGTTGTTGTTGTTATTGTTGTACTAATTTTTTTTTTTCCATGGACATTTTCTCATCGAATACAACTAGGACTAGGAATGTGTCATTGAGATCTTCTTTTAGGACCTAGAGGTTGAACCAAACAATTAAGTGAATTATGTTGCTTGCAGGTTGTGAGAAGGTGCTAGTGCTTAGTGGGCACAATTTTTACAAATGAGATACAAAGAATGGAAATGAAGGATTTGGACTTCGTTTAAGATGAAATAGCTTTTGAGGGCTCATTCCATTAAAAATAATTTTAAGTAAAAAATAATACCTGAAATATCAGCCTTTGTGCAAGGGGCTCATTCTGTAAGTGAATATACGGAAGAATTCTACAGGTTGAGTGTATAGAAAAATCTCAATTAGTCCCATATTCAAATCATTGCACGATATGTTGGAGGCCTAAATTACATCTTATACAAAAATTTGGAGTTGACCTCGGTGTGGTCATTATCTCAAGTTGTTAATTTTGAGTTATAAGCCAAAATGTAACTCAATGAGTATTAAAATTCGCACTTAACTCATTAATAGTGGTGACCTCATTTTTATCTTGATTTACCCTCGAGAATGTTAGATGAATTTCATCGATCCTCATTGAGCAAGATTCAATTAAAATCGACGTCAATTTTGGTATGATTTCTTGTTAAATTAGCATAGTCGAGCCGCATCGAACCCAAGTCAGACCGATTCGAGTCAAATCGATTTTGATTTTAAACCCAAATCGAGTTTGATTTTAAACCCAAGTTTTACCTGAAAGGACAAATTTAGTTCTATTTTAGTTTTAAACAACTTTTTAATAAACTTGAACAAATTTCTGGATTAGGCCCTTAGATCCTACGGCTCTAATTTTGTTGAAATGCAATTCTGTCGTTGTTAGTTGGGGCACTCACATGATGCTCTCATTTCAGCTTAAGGTATAGTTGTTTTAGGGATGAAACAACGATAGAGTTCCATCTTAGAGTATAGAAGACAAAGAATGAATAGATGCTCAGATTAGCAGGTTACAAAGGAGGAAGCAGAAGACCCTTTCATTCGGCTAGGTCGGTCTGTGTCCCCCCATTCGCACTCAATCTCTCTCTCTCTCTCTCTCTCTCTCTCTCTCTCTCTCTCTCTCTCTTGATTCTCTTTATTCACCTGGGAAGAGCCAAAGTCCCCACACTTTCCCTTCTTCGTCTCCCTTTGCATTTAAAAACTCCTCATCTTCCCATTCGAACGCCTCCTTCTTACTCTAGGTTTTGCACACCAGGATGAAACCCTATGGTGCCGACTTGCCCTAGCTGTCACCCCTTGCATTCCAAAAATAGACTTGTCTCCAATGATATTACTTAGCCACTAGCTCTTCTTCATCATAAATTCCATTAAATTAGAAGTCTTGGCCCAACCAAAGCCTTTTCCCCCTCAACGACACGTGATATTTCTGCGCCTTTTTTCTCCATCCTTCTTATTCCCTCTACTTTAGCCTTCTTGCTACGTCTATCACTATTTCTCTCTCTATACCTCCATATTCTACCCAGAACCCCTCTAGTTATATGTTATTTTCCATATAAAATAATTATATCGTGTTGGTATTAGTCATGTATGATTTTCCTTGCTCCATCTCATACACGCTTGCACTTGTGTGTTAAATGAAGTAATGGTAATCTTTGTATTCCCTTAAAGAATCATCTCCGAGGATCATTTAATTACTTGAATGTAGAGATTATCTCCTTTATAAACTAGCACGGATGAGATGTTGTACTTAGTTTCATATATTTTAATCAATTATGTTTTTATGAAGTTTTTGGAGAACATTTGTCATGTTAACTTTTTGATGAAATGCAACAATTTTGTTGTGTTTGTATTGAGGCTTTATTTTAAGAGAATCTTAATAGTATATGTTGCATTTCATAATTAGGAAATCCATGTCAAACTATGTATGAGCCATCCCTATATATTTTCTTTAGAGATTTAGATGAGTCATGTGAATATCTCTAGATTTATATAAGTCACTTCTCTTAACACTTCATTATCAGTTTTACTTCTTTTGAGAATATGAGACTTGAGTTTGGGGTTTAAGGCATATATTCCAACAATTATGTACTTTTTGCCAGATCGGTGCTAAGAAAAAAAAGTGAAATTTTGAATGCATGAGTCCCTTGTTAAAAAAAAAGTCTTTGGTAGCATGAGAGGTAAAAGAAACTTTTGTTGGAAGAATTCTAGAATTTTTTCTTTATGTAATAGAGAGATTTGAAAGTGGTTTTATGTTAAAATATTTTGTATTGGAATGTTTTAAAGCGTGCTTTCATTAGAGGGGTTTCATGATGTGGCTTTATATTGCAAAATCTTATGAGTCATAGAAAGTAAAATATTGTTTTCTTCAAATCTCCCACTCAACATAAGCATCTAAATATATTTTTTTTAATGGGTCTCTTTCTCATTCATGATTATATTTGTTCTTTTGATGTGTGGGCTCCGAAAATTCTGCCAGGCCTCCCCGCCGCGCGATTTATTTTTATTCGGTGAGGGGAGTTTTAACGGAATATGTTCCGAGGTAAATTTTGAAAGGCAGATGGGTTTGTAGATAAGACACTACCCAGAGATGTCGCCCTCATTTTATGAGGACTTTATGATCTGAGTTCTGGTTTCCTATAGGTGCAATCCCCTATAGTTAATTACCCCTCCTGATAACAAGAGAGAACTTTCGATTAAGGCTAGTCGTCAATCAGATACATAAAGATACATGTTATCTCGCATATAGTAGCAGCATTGAATATTTGAAGTGATTGGAGAATTTGGAAATTTGGATTTGAATGTTTGGATAGGGTTATTTGAGAAAATTTGAAATTTAAAATAGAAATTTGCACCATCTTGCAGTTAAAGCAGATGGTGGGGGATTAGATGATGGGCCCGATCAAGATCCCATGGTTCCGTCGTCTTGAGCCATCGTGACACCTGGTCTACTTAGTCAGAGGAGGTAGTCGACCCAACCAGACAGAAGGATCCTTGTCGGCAGCCATGGGTTGCTTCGTCCAAGGGGACCTTGTAGACCTAGGATGAATATTTGTCTAAGGGAATAAATTTGAATCCACCTTAGCTTACAGAGGGCTTTGTGCCCTATCGATCATATCCAACTGATTCATATCTCAAGGATTTGATGCCAATAAGGAGCGTATCGGCTCTGGCCATAACCGGTATTTTGTGGTGCCATTTGGCGGCAAAACTACTCTGTTCAGAGGGCCCCGGGTCATAACCTTTTATCCTACGGTGCCATTTGGCGGCAAACTGCCGGTTAGAGGACACGTACCACATCCTTTCTGGCAGGAGATTCTTTGAGAATGGATCCTAGTGATATTTTCGACCAGACATTAGCTCTTTGTGAGCTGAAGTATTTTTCAATTTTTCCACCTCGGCAAACTGTTGCGGAGGATGGATGAGATTTGCTTTAGTGTTTGATGGATTTATTTCAATTTTAAATATTTTTGGGATTTTGAGATTTTTTTTTTTTGGAAATTGGAGTGCCATTTTGATCATTTTGAATGGACTTTTGGGAGGCATTTTGAAAATATTTGTGAACCCCACCAGTTGAGATTTGCATTCAACACGATCATCATCGGGGTGTGGGGTCATTTCTATTTTTGGATTGAACCTTGTCGACTCTATTGAGCTATCGATAGAGGATCTAGTTTCGTAGGCTTTTTACCCTTGTAAGTGATTCTTTTGATTTTAGGCTTTGAAGGCCTAATATGAATGTGTTAAAACAAATGCACTGGTCTCCACAACCATATATTTGTTTGAAGGTTCGAACCCTGTCGACTCCTATTGAGCCGTATAGAAGGATCGGGTTTGAAC